AGGTCTTCCTGCACTTAGCCAGCCCCAGACTCCCCCCGGGGGATCTCTGGGGGGACACAGGCCCCTGAGCACCCCACCTCACTCAGGCACCTCCCACACAGACCCTGGCTTGGCTCTGATGCTTTCTCTGGCCCCCTTGCGTGGCACTTGGATGCAGGAGAAATGCCTTGGGCCCCGATGCTTGTCACCCCGCACTCCTGGCTGGTGAAGCCCTCCCTTAGGGCCCCTCTGGATTTAGCCCCAGCGGGGCCCAGGGCAGCCAGCAGAGTCTCATTGTCACCCTTCCCTTCAGATCTGCCACCTCTGTGCCCCTTTCCTGCACCCATGATGCACCGGGAGCTGTACTCCAGCCTCTTGAATGCACCTTGTCTCTAGAAGTCACAGGGGTCGTCCCCACGCCCTCAGGGACAGCAGAGCAGGCCTGCAGCCACGTCCCTCCTGCCTCCTGGGGCCATCACAGCCTGACCTCCATGACCGTGACCCACCAGGAGGTGGGGAGGGCAGTTTGCCCCAGATTCGGTCTGCTCGCCCCTCAGCTGAACAGTCCCTGAGGCCGCCACTGGTTGGTCTTGCCGCCATCCCCCAAAAGCTCTGAAAACCAAACATTTATTAAGCGCCTGCTGGATGCGGGTGCTGCTCCAAGGGCTCTGCCTTCGCTCACAGCCTCTCGGTGTTTACGACAGCCCTGGGAGGTGTAGACGCCACTATCATCCCCACTTTATGGATGGGGAAACTGAGGCTGAGAGAGGTTAGTTCATGTGCCCAAGTGACAAGACTTGAAAGCAGCAGAGAGGGGGTTCCAGGCTCCACTGTGCGGCCTTCTCTTTACGAGCAGCCTTGGTCTTTGCGCTGTGTACTGGAGCAATGAGGAACAAAAAAATCCCCAAAGTCCCTGCCCCCCAGGGGGCTGATATCCTAATATAGAGACAGGCACGAAATCAGTAAAACACATTTTATAATGCGTGATAAATAGGACCCATGGTGAACGTTTTGGGGGAAATGAAGACAGAAGCAGGATAGGAAGGTGGGGTGTGAGGGGCTGTCAATATTCAGTGAACTAGATGTGAATGTCTTACTTTGGCTTTTTCCCTCCCCTGTATTTTTCCCCTTGCTGGGAACACGGTGGCTGCATATATTATCCCAGAGTTAGTATGATTTTTTTGTAAGCTCTGCAAGGATGGAGCCCTGTGTCTGCTGGGTTTGTGTTGCCAGCCTTTGGAGCTCACTAAGAGCGAGTGGAGTGGCTGCCAGGGCTCCTGGGATGGGCACCAGCCCACTCGGGCCAGGGGGCCGGGCTGTGACTTTGCCTGCAATACCCACAGGCTGCCAGCAGGGGTCAGTGAGCGTGCACATCTGAGCACCTGCCCCAGGGAAGGGCGGAAGCTTCCAGAACTCAGGGGTGGGGAAACGGGAAGAGGGAAGAGTTTTCACTTTAATGCAACAGCAAATCACCCCATCTGAGTGTCGATTTGGTGGCACAAACACAGCCCTGGCCAGAGCAAAGGAGAAGAAAACACAGAGAGCCTCCTGTGGGGTTGGCCGCATCCCCCAGCCCGGGTTAGCCTGTCATTGAGGCTTGCGGGCTTAATGGGGGCTCTGTCTGGCTGCCAGGACCGGGAACGCGCTCAGAGGAGCTCAGATAAAGAGGGGTTTGTCGTCCACACAGCAGGGCTCTCAAATGGCCCAGATGCAGGAAGTGTAGGGGCCTCCGGGAACCGGGAAGCCGTTGGGCTTCTCTTCTGTCCCCCGGCCCCGTCTTGTGTTTCTCTCACTGTGTCGGCTGCAGTGTCCTCCTGGGGCTGGCTGCTGCTGTAAGGCTCTGGGTTGTAAGTCCAGCCACCCCAGGCCGCCTCCGAGTGACCTCAGGGCTCTGACGACGCCCTGTCTGGGTCTTTGAGAGCAAATCCTCGATTTGCTTGGCTGCCAGGAATCTGAAGCCCCCCAACCGAGACTAGGAGTCTGGAGTCGGGGTGTGGAAAAGCGGCTGCCTATGTGCCCCTCTGCTTTCCGCCTGGGGACCAGCCACTGCCTTCATGGCTCTGTAGATGGAGGATGAGACGGAAGTCAAAGGCAGAGAGTGGTCCACGTCGTCCTCCACTTTAGAGATGGGCTGAAATGCCCCCTTGGCTGTGACCCTGTGGCCCCCTGCCCACCGCATTTCCATTCTCCCGGCCTCTGACCATCCACCTGGTCTTTCTCCCCAGGTGAGCCTGGCCAGCCTGGACTCGGAGAGCCCGCTGACCATGGGCCTGAACCTCTCACGCCTGGGCCGGGCCGAGCACATCCTGGAGCTGCGGCCGGCGCTGGAGAGCCTGGGGGGCCGGGTGCGCTACGTCCTTGCCCGTGGCCACGAGCGAGGTTTCTTCCGCGTGCGTCACCTCCACCGCCTCAGCATCCTGCAGCTGGGGCGTCGGAGGCCGGGGCCTGGAACCTACCAGCTGGAGGTGGTGAGCGTGGCAGAGCCCCGGGGCCCCAGGCCAGAGAGGCGGCCGGGGCCTGGCAGCCAGGCCTTGCGGCTGAAGGTGCAGCTGCAGCTGCTGTAGTGGGAGGGGTCCTGCCTGGCCCCAGGCCCCTCCCGCAGCCCCCTCTCCAGACTCACCGCCCGGGCACCGTTCAACCCATGCCTCTTTCCACGGGGTTTTGGGGAAACTCCCATGTCACTCTCTGCTCGCCACACACCGTGAGAGACCCCGGTGAAAAGTCCTGGCCTCCGTGGGCCCCAGAGCCCCCTTGCCATCCTCCTCTCCAGAGATGAGCGATTCTGGAGCTGGGAGCGATCCATCTCCCAGCAATGGCTGACCAGGTGGGACCCCGAAACTCAGGAAGAGCAAAATGCTACGCTACAACCTCAAGCGTGCCCAGCCTCGGCCCGGGGGACCCCCACACTCCGTCTTTCCTGGGGACAGCTGGAAGCTGTAATGCGCACCCTCCATCTCCAACAACCGGGGTCAAGGGGGCCCCCGTGTTTCACTGTACTGGTCAATCTCAGGCGTAAACTTCTGCACTGCACCCAGGCTAGCCCCCGGGTCAGCACAACGGAAACAGGCAGCTGGGGTGGGCATGGGGCTCGTCCTTCTGAGCAGAAGCTGGTGACACGCAGCCACGTTCATGCCCCCAGGGGGCTGGGCTAGGGTTGCGAGGGTGCTTTTATATCCTAAGCAGAGACAACAATAAAGTTATTTTGGGTTAAGTCTGGCCCCTTGGCACGTTCTCGAAGTAAGCAGATGCTGCCCTTGGCAGGACCAGGCCAGGCTCACTCGTGGGGGAGGCCGAGGCCCTGGGAGGGAGGAAGCTTTGAGAAGGATGAAATTCAGCCAGGGCTCCGGGGAAAAAGCGTGTAGGGTGGGTGAGGACCACCCTCCACCTGGGGATGGGGGACACGGTCTCGGGGTGCAAGTAGGTTCTGCCAACTTCAGACCAGTGTGTTTGGCACAAAGTCGGGGTAACCACCAGGAGCCCTCGTGGGTTCACCAGTCCTGGTGATAATGGCTCACACTTCCTGGCCGCGTGCGACGGACCAGCCACCGTTCTCAGTGTTTTACAATTGTTGACCCACTTGGTCATCCCTACAGCCCCAGGGAATAGACGCTGTGTTTCTCATCCCCATTGTACAGATTGGAAAACTGAGGCTCAGGGAGGCTAAGTGATTGGCCAAGGTGATTACAGGTGGCAGGTAGCAGAGCCGGGTTCAGTGTCAGGCAGCTGTGCCAGCATCCCTGCTGTCACCCCCCACGGCCTCCTGCTCCGCCCTGAGTTGGGCTGGATCTACGGGATGCGGTGGCTGAGCTTGACAGCTGGGATGCTCATCGTGTTAACACGTCGCCAGCATGTGCACGTCACAGGGTAGCGGATTGAGTCCCCACAAACGTGTATGAGGCAGGCAGTTATGGCTCCATTTTACAGGGGGCGGGGGGTGCCGAGGCTTGGAGAGTTCGTGGAATCTGCCCAGGGCCCCCACAGCGTAGAAGACCCATGGTCCCTGAGTCTGCACCTGGCCCCTGGCCCTAGACTGCCTCTTGTCCTCTAGGGATGGTGCATTTGGTTTTCATCCGGAATGTTCTCTGTCCTGGTGGAAACTGAGGCTGCCTGAGAACAGTACTCCACTCATGGGTGGCTGGAATCTGGGTGTGGCCCTGCCTCGTGCAGAGTAGTCACTAGTCTCTGGCCCTGGGGCTCTGTCCTCAGCTCGCTTCTCTCTCTTTTTTTTTTTTTTTCAGGGTATACGTTTTTTTTGGTGAGGAAGATTGGCCCTGAGCTAACACCTGTTGCCAATCGTCCTCTTTTTTTCTCCCCAAAGCCCCAGCACATAGTTGCATATCCTAGTTGTAGGTCCTTCTAGCGCTTCTGTGTGGGACGCCACCACAGCATGGCTTGATGAGCGGTGCGTAGGTCCACGCCCAGGATCCGAACTGGCAAACTGGGCTGCCAAAGCAGAGTGCGCAAACTTAACCCCTGGGCCATGGGGCCGGCCTCCTCAGCCTGCTTCTGTTTCCCCTGACTTATGAGGAGCCTCTGAGCTGACATCAGAGCTCTCCCAGAGGGCTTTCCCGGTCCATTAGCCCAGGAATCTGGACGGAGCCAGCACAGGACCCTGTTTTCTAGGCCAGGACAGAGGGGCCGAGAGTGAGCGCTTTGCTCCAGGTCACCAACTGGACTCACACCCAGGCCGGCAGCCAGCACACCCGGCGCCCGGCCCCCCGGGCACATAGCCGTCTGTCGTGAGGGCTGAGGACACAGATCCTGGGCTGGGGCAGGGGGGAGGGCGGCCACGTGGGATGCAACCCAGGCTGGGGCAGCAACTTGCACCCCAAAATGAAAGGTGACAGAGACGGGGATGACGCCCCACCAAGGGTTTATTGAAACGTTATGGAAAAGCACAATGTCCTGGGAGAGGGGGTGTCCTTGGACAGACTGGAGGTTTGCAAGGACCCAGAGGGACAAGAGCAGGCGGGGCCTGGGGTGAGTGGCAGGAGGCTGCGGGTGGACAACGTATCCCGACGGTTCTGTACCAGGCCCGTTGCCCAGGGCTCGCTCTGGTTCCCGGAGTCCCCTCCTTCCAGCTGCCTGGGGAGCTGGGGTTGGCAGGGGTGACAGGGACGGAAACAGCAGCGGCTCAGGCATGGGGATTAGGGTTTGACCTGAAGGGCAGAGAAGCTGGGGCAGCCAGGGCCGCAGGGCAATGGGCGTGGCAGAGGAAGATGCAGTCCAGCTTGGGCCGGCTGGTCCTGGAGAGGTGTGGTTCACTGTCCTGCAGGTGGGACTGGAGAGGCCGGCAGGTGACGGGGACTGGAGTGGAGCCGGGGGCCCTGTGGCTTTTGGTTTCATTTCAGCACTCACCGAAGGCCCCTGGGCTGGGGCGCGGTACTGACCAGCCCCCGAGGACCCTCCCGTGTGAATCTGCAGGGCTGACCAGAGAGCCAGCCCTCCTTGGTCCTGGAGGTGAGTCCCCTGACTCAGCTTGGGCTGATGATAAGCCCTCATCCCTCAGCTGCGGTGACAGGTGGAGGAATGGTCACACAATCAGAGTCCTCACCTGGTTTAGCTGTTCTCGGAAAGGAGGTGTTCTTCTTGCTGCTTCTGGTGGGACCCCTAAACATGAACAGTGGTAGCCTGGAGGGTCCAGAGTTCAACTTCTTCACCCCAGAGTGAGAGCCTGTCCAAGAGATAGAAGGAGAAATAGATAGGAGCTCTGCCAAGTCCCTTTGAGCACCTGGATCTGGCCGAGCCTGAAGCCGTTGGCTGGTTATTTGAGCCAAGGCATTTGCCATTTGTTTGAATTTTCCATCTCCAGCAATTACAAGTGTCTTGACTGAAAGAGTTGCTCATTCATTCAGTCTCTCAACTCACCAGCAACTAGCTCTCTTTGGGGTAGGGGCAGCTGTTGTCATGCTAGGCTGCGATTCCATCCTCGAGAAGCTCAGGGGCCCACAGCAGGGAGGGGAGGCCCTTCAATGCTGGGCTGGGGTCTCACCCACCTTGGAAGGTTCTCTGGGCACCTGCGTGGGGCTTTGAGGGGGCCTTGTTCCGGGCATCCAGGATCTTCATCCCCTTCTGCACCCACCTGGCCCGTGGGTCCCCACACACCATCCTCTGCTTCTGACGGAAGAAGAATCTGGCGGGTGGGGGAGGAGTACCCAGTAAGGGGTGCTGGGGAGCCAAGGTGTGTGTGAGCTCCTCCCCCGGTCCCCACCGTTCCACTCACATCACGGCAGGCAGGTTGCAGCTCCCCGTCACCTCCTGGCGCAGGTAACCCTGGGCGTGCCGGAGCATGGCCAGCCTGGCGTGGCGGTGATAGGCCAGGCAGCAGTCCTCAAAGACACCTGCAACCACATGCCACCCACAGGCTCACATCTGCACGTGCACGTGCACGGCTGCGTGTGTGCTCTGCAGGGATGGCCACAGACGTGGGTACCTGTGCCTACAACACGACCCTTCCGGGCTCAGTGGAGGCCGAGGGACAGCCCAGGCGATCAGGAAGCCGTTCGGCTCACCTTTGGCCCTTGATATGGTGACAGCTGGCAGAAGGTGAGCCGCAGGCCCTGGCCAGGAAGGGCCCGGAAACACCAAATGAGCGGGGGACCAAGGCCACGTCTACTCCTGCTCTGGGGTAGAGGCCCAGGGGGGCACCCAACCTAGCCCCTCCTCCTAAAATGAGCGAGGGGCCTGCTCCTGATGTCCCGGCTCCTGCTCCAGGCTAGCCCTTCCCCACCGAGGGCTATCTCAAGTAGCTCTTCCTCTCTGTGCCCATCAGAGGGACCACTCTGAGTTACCCGGCTAGAACCTGGGAGGTCCCTGTTCGTTTACCCGTTGGTCGAACAAAGGCATTTAGAGTTCCCACTAGGCGCCGGATGTCTAGACAAACACAGAAGGGAACGCCACTGGCCCCCCGGCGTTGTCATGGGGATCTCTCTGCCTCAGGGGGAGACCAGGAAGTTGATCTACCCCGGGGAGGGGGAAACACGGGGACCCGCAGTAGGCGGCTGCCTGGAGGAGGAGGTGCCGGTGCCCCAGTGGGTCTGGGAGGCTGAGCAGGTGGAGTGAGCAGAGGACGATTGATGCAGGAGTTGGTGCAGAGGCCTTTGAGGTCCTCTGGGATCAGGTCCTCTGCCGACCCCTCTCCAGGGGCCACGTCTGAGCCGTGACAGAGCACAGCGGAGGGATGAGGGGGAGGGCTCAAGGGCCCCCTGCATCCCCCAACCTTGGCCCCCCCGCAAGGGGTAGTGGAGTCAGACAACCCTGGGCCGCAGTGCCAGGCACACAGTTGCCAGGGCTGGGGGCCACTCTGCCCCCAGGATCAAAGGGCCCGGGCTGGGCCTGGCTCCTGGAATGGGCCTCTGATAACGGGACAATGGGAACGAAGCCCAGCCCCTTCCCGGGCAAAGGCTAAGGTCTACTGAGGGCAGGGTTAGGGCCTCTTAGACCCAGCGAGGGGCAGGTGGGGCCCGAGGGTGGGGCCGTGCCCTGCTTGGCCTGCTGCCAGGGCTCAGCTGCCTCCCCCGAGCCCATAGGGATGTAGGACACAGCGGCAGGGCTCCTGGAGGACACTGCGTACCCAGAACCGTCCTGTAGTCACCCAAATCCTCGAGGGCCTAATCTGGGGAGAAGGGGGAACGGGATTCCGCATTAATAACAGTCATGGTTATCATTGTTGTTGCCGGCACTGGGCCGAGAGTTTTGCGGGCATCGGCTCATCAGATCCTCACGTCCCATCTCTGCAGTGGGAATTCCGAGTCCCACTTTCAGAGGAGGAACCTGAGGCTCAGAAAGGCTGAGTAGCAACTCTGAGCCACACTGCAGAAGCACCCCCCCCCCCACCCCCGTGGGTCCCGGGGCTCTGAACTCGCAGCCCGCCCCTGCAGGTTACTGCAGCTCGACCCTGGCTCCCGCTGGGAGCCACCCTCCGCTCCCCACAGCCCCTGGGCCGGCTGGAGTGCCTGAGGGAGGCGTTGAGTGACGGGCTGTGAAGAAGCCACCAAGGGGCTCTGGAAGGAGGCGCTGGGGACCCTGAACCCCAAAGGAGCTGTACAAATGCCAGGAGCTTCTGCACGCCTGGGGCGAGGGCTGTCCGTCAGAGAACTCCGTGGTGGAGATGGGGTCAGCGGAGGCTTCTGGAGGAGGGGAGGGGCAAATCGGTGGGGTGGGGGAGTAGGCCGGTGCAGAAGGTTGGATGGGGAGAGGGGAGCTCCAGGGGGGCCGGGCAGGTCTGGCCCAAATCAGTACCTTGAGCGTGGACAGCGGGGGCCCAGGCGCCCACGGAGCAGGCCACCAGGCAGGCCAAGAGCCACGGGTTCATAGCGCCGGCTGGTCCTCCTTGGGCACCTTGAGCGATAATGGGGGAGGTGGGAGGGTGATGAGGACCCCAGTGGACAGCAGCGGGCACTGGGAACACCCCTCGGCCCTCTGCAAGGGAGGCAGGTGGCACAGGAGGGAGACAATTCGCGCTGGAGAGACCTGCTGCTGGTCTCAGCCGGGGGGCAGGGTGAAAACTCACCAGAACCTACGGGGTCCAGGGAGCCGGTCCTGCTGGGGTGTCCCCAAGGTGTCTGGCTTCCAGTCCGGCAGGCTCTCCCTTTATAGAGGGAGCCCCACCCTGCCGCCACCTGCCCTCCTCCTCTCTCACCTCCTCTCCCACTCCGCCTCTGCCTCCGTGCCCCTCCCCTCTGCTCCCCTGTTTCTCTTTCTAGCTCCTCTCTCCAGCGTCGGGGTGCCCTGGAGGGGGTCCTGGGTGACTGGACACAAGAGGACCCAAGTCAAAGAGCCAGGCAGGCAACAGTGACTCCCTCAGCTAACTATTTGCACGAGGGACAGACAAGGGTTGGCTCTCTTGGTGATGAGAGGCAGATGGGCACAGATGGACAGACCCAGCCCCGACCTTGACCAGGCCACCTGCAGCCTGGCTGCCCCGTGACGCCCTCCCTTCCTGCATCCCATCCCAGGCGTCTCAGCCCGCACCCCGGCTTTCTCTCTGAAGGGCCTTTTCTCCTCTCTCTCCCGGCCTGTCTCCTCTCACATCTGGGTGGACACTGGCTGCCCGTGGACAGGACTCAGGCCACCTAGAGCCAGGGGAAGACGTTCACCTCTGCTCCCCATCCCCAAGCCACCTGCTCCCCAGAGCCCTAACTTCGCCCCATTTCTCTCTCCTTGCACGCAGGTGACTTACCGTTTCACAGAAAATGTCCAGGTTTCGAGAACAGGCAAATCCATAGAAACAGAAAGCAAAATTCGTGGTTGCCACGGGCTGGGAGGAGGGGAGACAGGGAGGTGACAGAGAAAGGGTTTTTGTTTTGTTCTGAAATTAGCGGTGATGGTCGCGCGGCTCGGTCTGCGAATATCGTAAACACCGCGGGACGGTAGACTTTCAAGGGGGTGGGCAATGCACGTATGTGAATTTTCCCGAACATTATCTTGAGACTAATCTCAACGAAACCGCTGTTAACAACCACGACAACAAAGAAATGCTCTGGTTGTGGAAGAGAAGCCGGGAGCCCCAGGTAAGCGCGCGGGCAGGAAGCGAAGCAAAACCCGTCCAGAAGGCGTTTCTTCTTTCCTGGGTCAGCGTGGCCCAGGGGGAACAGGGGTGTCGGGGGGTAGCGGTGGGGGTGACACAGGGGGAAGAGGTCTCTGCAGCGAGCTCACAGCTGATGGCTTTAACTTTTTATTGCTCGCATCCGATTGCTTTAAGTTTTTGTTGCCCGTATAGACCACCGCACTCCTTTCTCATTTCCTGCTCCGTTAGGAGCCCACTCGCTGAGCTAGGTCGGGAGGCGGGGTGGGCGGGGCTTATATCGGGGGCGGGGCTTAAAGACAGGCCCGTGGCTCCGGGAGGCGGGGATTTATGGGTGCGGCTTAGGCCGGGGGCGGGGCTTGATGAATGGCACTTAGTGCCGGGACTGGACTGGCTGGGGCGTCAAGCTCCGGGGGCGGGGCTTGATGAAAGACATGCGTGCAGGGGGCGGGGCTTGGAGCGGGGCGGAGCTTACGAGCCCAGCCCCACCCCGCCCGAGCGGCCAAGATGCAGCGGTCCTGCAACCCCCGATGGACGAGGCTGAGCCGGGACGCGGCTCGGCGTGGCTGCGGGCGTGGGGACGCGGCGAGGCAGGCCGGGGCCAGCCTCCCCGCTCCGGCCCACTGTCCCCGCCTGCCCCGCGGGCGGGCAGCGGCCAAGGCGTTGCCTAGACTTGGCGGAGGTCCCCCGCGAGTGAGCCCACCTCCCCGCCCCTCACTGTTCGTCCCACCGGCAGCCTTAACGGGGAGGAGGGCGTCTGGGGACAGGACGCGGGGCGGACAGGGATTTGCGCGCTCTTGGACCCGGCTCAGGCCCCGGGTGTCCGGGCGGCGTCTGGGATGCTCAGGGACGGATGCTCAGGCCTTGAATGAAAACCCGGAGTTGCTGAGTGCGAGGGCCAGATCTTCAAGGTCAGGGCCGAACTGGGGGAGAGGAGAGGCCTCTTCCGTTACTACAGCTGCTGGAGGCGTTAGGGCTGAACTGTGCCAGCAGCGGACCCTGATCTTCCGCATGGATGAAATGGGTGCAGCTGGGGGACAGAAGCTTCCCCCTGCCTCCTGGTCACCAGCTCTGAAGATGGGGGCCTTTGGGGGCGGTCTCCAGCCTGCAGCTGAGCCAAATTCAGGGACTGACCACACCCTGGGGCCTGCAGGGTTGGAAGGGCAGGCGGAGGCCTTCCTCCCATGAGCATGGCTCAGCTCTGGGCAGCACCCCAAAAGAAGGTGCCTGTAGTGGGTACACACAGGGGCCCTACTGCAGAATGAAGCCGGCAGTGGGCTCTCTGAGGGGAAATGCCAACTCCTCCTCTGGAGGCTGAGGCCCGGCTCACTCTCCTTTCTCTGCTGGAGGGCCCTCCCAGGCGCTCAACTTGGCCCATTTTGCAGAGGAAGAGACCGAGGGTCAGGGAGGCCAAGTCATTTACCTTTGTTTTTTTTTTTTTTTTGCCAGGAAAATCTGACTTGTATTTCTTAAATACTGTGAAGGAAAAGGGGACAGTCCCCTAATGGGGGAGGTCCATTGAGCAGAGGCGTAGGGGTCATCAGGAAAGAAGCACCACCTGCTGAAGTGGAGGGGTCCTCCCGCAGTTACTTTTGCATATCAGTTCCCCACCCCCACCCCTGATAATGCCTACAGCTTTTTAACTTCTGGTGTCTCCAGGTCCCGGCTCAGGTGGCCTCTGAGAGAAGAGCAACCCCACACACACATTGTTGTGCATCTCATGGGGAGCAGACCAGACCCCATGCGTCCTGGCTGCCAGGCCTGGATGCCTGTTGTGCCCAGCCGCCTTTTGCTCTGGTCCAGACGCACAGCGGTTGCCAGGCAACTGGAGGAAGGAGGGGAAAGGGTTTTTTCCAGGATGCCTGGCAAGCCTCTGGCCCAGCTTTCAGGGACCTGGTTTATAGACTGTCTCTGTGTGACTCCTTTCTCTGTGTCCCCGATGTGGTTGGCCCTGCTGCCTCCTAGAAGGCCAGTTTGACGGGCTTTCCTCCCCAGGCTGACCAGCTGCCTCTGTGTTCCAGGGGGCAGCCATAGCAATGGCCTGGGCAGGGCACTTGGGCTACTGGCACTGGTCATGACCTTGACCTCAGTCTTTGGGCTTCTCCTGCTCTGACAGGACACGTGGGGGCCGGGCCAGCTGGGCAGGGGAGGCATGGGGAGGGAGGGTGGTGGGCTGGGAGGAGAGGATCCCAGAGGATCCTGAGTCTCTCTTCAAGCACCGTTCACCCCTTCCACACAAGCTTTCTGGACCCTCTTCCATACCAGCCACATGCTGGGCCCTGGGGCGATGGCAGTGAGCAAGCAGAGGTGTCCCAGCCACGAAAGATGACAGTGATGTGCCTGATTCTCACTGAACACTTGTTGGGGGCCATTTGTTATCTCAGTCATTCAGCAAACACTTAGCACCGACTGTATACCAGGTATCGTGCCTACTGTATGCCAGGCACAGGGCTGGGTGCCAGGGCAAGTAGTGAAGGAGATAGATAGTCCCAGGGCAGAGCAGACAAAACAAGCAGAAGATAATGAAGCAAGATACTTGGAGATTAGGATCAATGCCACAAATCCTGGCGTGGTAGGGATAACCCTATAAATATTCATCCACATTTACAGGGGGAAAAAAATTCAACTGGGGCCCAGAGAGGTTAAATTGCCTGACCAAGTAAGCAGGGGCGCAGGATTCCAAGCCCAGGTCTGACCCCATCATCCCACAGATACTGATCAGCTGCTGTATGAATGAATGAATGAATGAACGAATGAATGATTTTTAAATTTTAATAGTGTATTTTATTGAACCCTATCTATCCAAAATATTACCATTTCAACATGTAATCAAATGAAAATGATTGATGAGGTATTTTTCTTTTTTGCACATGTCTTCAAAACATGGTTTATTGTGGGGCCGGCCCGGTGGTGCAGCAGTTAAGTGTGCACATTCCGCTTCGGTCACCCTGGGTTCGCCGGTTCGGATCCTGGGTGCGGACATGGCACTGCTTGGCAAGCCATGCTGTGGTAGGTGTCCCACGTATAAAGTAGAGGAAGATGGGCACAGATGTTAGCTCAGGGCCAGTCTTCCTCAGCAAAAAGAGGAGGATTGGCGGCAGATATCAGCTCAGGGCTAATCTTCCTCAGAAAAAAAAAAACAAAAAAAACATGGTTTATCGTACTTGAAATGTACTTGCAGCCCACCTCAAGTGCCGAAGAGCCACACGTGGCTAGTGGCCACCTTACTGAACAGTGAAGTTCTAGCCACAGATAATTGTCAACTCATAATTTTATATTGTTTCTTTTTTATACTTTTATTTTTAAGCCTCTTTTTTAAGAGTGTTTTGCCAGTAAAATTTAGGGGAAGGTACAGAGATTTCCCATATTCCCCCTGCCTGCACACAGGCACAGCTTTCCCCATTATCAACCTCCCCTACCAGAGTGGGACCTTTGTTATCAATGATGAACCTACGTAGACATGTCATCATCACCCAGAGCCCATAGCTGACCTTAGGGGTCACTCCTGGTGTTGTACATTCTATGTGTTTGGACAAATGTATAGTGACATGGATGCATCTTTCTGGTATCATATAGAGTATTTCATGGCCCTAAAAGTCCTCTGTGCTCCACGCCTGTCTTTTTTGTGCTGACATTTTGATAACTGGGGTCTCGCTGAGCCCGGAGGGACTGCCCCTCCAGACCTGGTGGATGCCCAGAAAAAGTTAAGGACTCACCTGCCAGCATACTTTTCACATGCAAACCAACCAATCCAGAGCCCACAGCCCACTCCCTCCTCTCTGGGGCTCTCACACTCAGGGCCACTATCCCCCTGCCCTCGTCACTCCAGGGCCAGGTGCCAGACAACCAGGGACAGCCCCTACACGCCAGAGCCTTCTGGAATTATTCAGACTAGCCCATCCGAAGCCTGCTTATGCTGCCTCACTCATTCCTTCCAGTGGAAACCACAATTGGCCCCCTCCCTCTGCCTCCTGGCCCACCCTGGTGCTCTGTGCCCTTTCCTCTTGGGATCTGTGAGTAACAAATTATCTCTTCAATGGCCACCGTCTCCTGACCTGTTGGCCTCACCGTGGCTGAATAATAATAAAACCTACATTTTAAAACTGATGCCAAGTGATGTGCAGAGAGCTGGAGACGGAGGGCAGCTAACAGATGCACCACTCCCTGTGTGGGGCTCACAGCTATCAGGGGGATGCTCACGGGATGCTGCAAGACTGCATGGTCAGTGTTTTAGAGGAACGTCCACACCCAGCCTGTGGACGTGCAGAGGGCACCCCACCAGGTCTCCAGAGGGAACAACCAATGAACGGAGACCTGAGGACAAGCAGGTGTCAGTCAGAGGCCAGACAAAGCAGGACACCAGAGGGACCTGCCAAGTGCAGAACAGCTGGCGTGGGAGATGGGGGGACAGATAGTGGAAGATGAGGTGGGAGGGGACAGGCTATTCAGGGCCTCACATGCTGAGCCAAGGAGGGTGACCTTCATCGTGAGGGCACTGGGGAGCCAGTGAGGGATTTAGCCAGGGAGGGTGGTGGTCAGGTCCGTGTCTGAGCTCTGCCAAGGTCATGTGGAAGATGCACCGGAGAGGCATCAGCTCAGACAAAAGACTCAACAGTCAACAGCC